CTAGAGTTGAAGCCACTAATTGGCTATGTAAAATCTGGGAGACCCCAAACATGGGTTCTCCCCTTTCTTGCTTTCCAGCCACCCCAACAAAGGTGCTTTGGCCCTCGGGGCCGTGTTCGGTCCTTCAACGTCCCATGCAAGACCTCCCGGAAGGGTGAGGGATCAAAAAACCACTTTTTAGGCATCAAAAGAAACTTATTCCTGAAGATCAAAAAACTTACTACGGATCAACAAAACTTCCTCTCTTAGATTTCCTACTGAAATAAAAACGCAGAGGATTAAAAAAAACTTGTTCAGGCTTTGTGGCAGGCACGGCACTTTCGCAAGGTACGGTCTAGATTTCGCGGCAGGCGCAGCACTTTCGCAAGGTCAGGTACAGATTTCGTGGCAGGCACAGTACTTTCGCAAGGTCAGATACAGATTTCGCGGCAGGCGCAGCACTTTCGCAAGGTACGTTATAGACTTCGCGGCAGGCGCAGCACTTTCGCAAGGTCAGGTACAGATTTCGTGGCAGGCACAGTACTTTCGCAAGGTCAGGTACAGAGTTCGCGGCAGGCGCAGCACTTTCGCGCAGATTTCGCGGCAGGCGCAGCACTTTCGCGAGTTACGGTACAGATTTCATGGCAGGCGCAGTACTTTCGCAAGGTACGGTAGAGATTTCGTGGCAGGTGCAGGCCTTGCGCAAGGTGCGGTACAAATAGCCCCCCCCATGATGTTCGAAGAAGTGATGATTCAACAAGGCGTGATGATTATCGAAGAAGTGATGCTTCAGCAATTGAGTGCATTAATCTCTGTAAACATTCGACAAACCAGCAGGGGGTTGGGGGGGGGGGGGGCGGCACCCCCCCTGCATGATGTTCGAAGAAGTGATGATTCAGCACAGGGTGCGTTAATCTCTGTCAACATTCCGAAAATCAGCGAGGGGGTTGGGGGGGCGGCAGCCCCCCCATGATGTTCGAAGAAGTGATGATTGAACAAAGGGTGATGATGTTCGAAGAAGTGATGATTCAGCAAAGGGTGCGTTAAGCTCTGTACGCATTCTACATCAGCAGGGGGGTTGGGGGGAGGGCGGCAGCCTCCCCCATGATGCTCGAAGAAGTGATGATTCAACAAAGGGTGATGATGATCGAAGAAGTGATGATTCAGCAAGGGCGCGTTAATCTCTGTAAACAGTCTACAACTCAGCGGGGTGGCTGGGGGGGGGCGCTTGCTTCCTGCCTTCCTGCCTTCCTGCCTTCCTGCCTTCCTGCCTTCCTGCCTTCCTGCCTTCCTGCCTTCCTGCCTTCCTGCCTTCCTGCCTTCCCGCCTTCCCGCCTTCCCGCCTTCCCGCCTTCCCGCCTTCCCGCCTTCCCGCCTTCCCGCCTTCCCGCCTTCCCGCCTTCCCGCCTTCCCGCCTTCCCGCCTTCCCGCCTTCCCGCCTTCCCGCCTTCCCGCCTTCCCGCCTTCCCGCCTTCCCGCCTTCCCGCCTTCCCGCCTTCCCGCCTTCCCGCCTTCCCGCCTTCCCGCCTTCCCGCCTTCCCGCCTTCCCGCCTTCCCGCCTTCCCGCCTTCCCGCCTTCCCGCCTTCCCGCCTTCCCGCCTTCCCGCCTTCCCGCCTTCCCGCCTTCCCGCCTTCCCGCCTTCCCGCCTTCCCGCCTTCCCGCCTTCCCGCCTTCCCGCCTTCCCGCCTTCCCGCCTTCCCGCCTTCCCGCCTTCCCGCCTTCCCGCCTTCCCGCCTTCCCGCCTTCCGCGCCTTCCCGCCTTCCCGCCTTCCCGCCTTCCCGCCTTCCCGCCTTCCCGCCTTCCCACCTTCCCGCCTTCCTGCCTTCCCGCCTTCCTGCCTTCCCGCCTTCCTGCCTTCCTGCCTTCCTGCCTTCCTGCCTTTCTGCCTTCCTGCAATCCTGCCTTCCTGCCTTCCTGCCTTCCTGCCTTCCTGCCTGCCTGCCTGCCTTCCTGCCTTCCTGCCTTCCTGCCTTCCTGCCTTTCCTTCCTTTCCTTCCTTTCCTTTCCTTTCCTTTCCTTCCCTTCCCTTCCCTTCCCTTCCCTTCCCTTCCCTTCCCTTCCCTTCCCTTCCCTTCCCTTCCCTTCCCTTCCCTTCCCTTCCCTTCCTTTCCTTCCCTTCCTTCCCTTCCCTTCCCTTCCCTTCCCTTCCCTTCCCTTCCTTCCTTCCTTCCTTCCCTTCCTTCCCTTCCCTTCCCTTCCCTTCCCTTCCCTTCCTTCCCTTCCCTTCCCTTCCTTCCCTTCCTTCCTTCCTTCCTTCCTTCCTTCCTTCCTTCCTTCCTTCCTTCCTTCCTTCCTTCCTTCCTTCCTTCCTTCCTTCCTTCCTTCCTTCCTTCCTTCCTTCCTTCCTTCCTTCCTTCCTTCCTTCCTTCCTTCCTTCCTTCCTTCCTTCCTTCCTTCCTTCCTTCCTTCCTTCCTTCCTTCCTTCCTTCCTTCCTTCCTTCCTTCCTTGTCCCCATAGGAATGAGACGAAGTTTCTTTTTGATCCCTAATAAGTCTTTTATTCATCCCTAATAAGATTCTTTTTAAGTGTTTGTTGATGCCCATCCCCTCCCGGAACCCAATGGCTGTCGCCGGACCACCACAAAGGGACTCCCTCCGCAAATGCCTCGTTTCAAGCTTTCCGCTTGGTTTCGGAGCAACAAAAATCGCTTCGGCTCATTGTGTTTCTGTTGAACCTCCTCAACCAAACTGGTTTGGGGGCACAAAAACGGAAGAAAGAAAAAGAATAAACAAAACGAACAACCGCACCACACGGAACCGCCGCGGTTCTTATTTGGCCATTGCACCCAAACGATCCGCCTTGGACTTCACCAGCTGGATCTCCCGCACTAAGGGCTCCATATCCACCTCACAAGAGGAAGCGGAGAAACCGCGAAACCCACGACGAAGTGAAACCCAAAACAGACTCGAAAAGGAGTCGGAGAAAACAATGGTAATGAGGGCAGCGCCTTCGCACTATAATGAGGGGTCCTCTTCCGGGGGGGGGGATGTAAAAAGGCTAAGAAGGGGCGTCAGGCGTGAAACCTAAGCGGTTTCAAGGGGCGCGATGGGCCGGATTCGCGTCCCCGACTTTGGCAATGCTCGCGGTTTCTTTGCCTTTCATCCGCTTCAGGGTCATGCCTGGCCGATTTGCTCGTCAGCCACTTGACACAGTCGGATGAGGAGGGTGGCTCCTGCGTCCGAAGCCTCCCCACACATCCCCGCCTATCTGGGTCGGAGGTGCTTTTTGGCGTGGCCTGTTTCCTGTTGGCCTCAGCTCTGGGCTTATCCTTGAAGGAAGGCACGGAGTTTCACGGCATATACCGCCATGGCTTTGGCGGACATCCTGGTGAAACACAGTTTGTTTTGGAGCGTTTTTGGGTGGATGCATGCGGCCGGCATCTTCGCGTCAGCTTAAAAATATCTATGCCCTGCTCATTTGTGTGTCCCTGAATGCTGGGCAGCAACAGGAGTTCGCAGTTCGCAGGATGTCCTCCCCCCCTCCGAACTCCGAACTCTGAGACCGTGCCTTCGACACTTCGCCTCGCACCATGTCTGTGATGGTGGCAGCCACCTTGCCGGGCATCGCAAATGGGAGTGAACAAAACCGTGAACATTTGGCCCAACTTTGGGGTGCACAGTAATTCTTTCTCTTTCTGCTTTACATTTTGAGTCTATTCCCTCAAAAGGATCGCCAGGAGGTCGAGGGACCCATGCAAACACCTAGAGCCCAAAAAACAAGGATCCACTTTTTTTCTTCTGGTCAGTGGTTGAGAAATGGTCATTTCCCGGGAGGTTTGAGGGTTGCAGGTCGCCAGGAAAACCAAAAGAGCGGCCGCCTGTCGAGCCTTCGCGCCCACCTCCCTTTTCAAGGGGGCTGGATTTCGGGCAACAAACACAGGTGCGTCTCAAGAAAAAAGCAAATTGGCCTTTGGTTTTCCCCAAGAACACCGTCACTCCGATTTCCGGACGCGTAGCAAAGCATCTCCCCACAGAACCCGAGACATCAGAAAGGGGATCCCTTTCTGGCTTCTACGTTGATCGGGTAAACGTAGGGCTTGGACGTCTTTTGCAAATACGGCTGTGTGTTGAAACAAGGGGCCCCATGCGCAAACATTTGACTAAGTCACAAAATACAGTTTCACCAAAAAAAACTATGAAGCAAAGTTCATCCTGGTTTTTTTCAAGCTCCTTGGTTGCAGCTTGGACTTCTCCGATTTGCTCATTTGCGGGTTGTTTTGATAAAAGGGCCCTCCCTGGAAGGGAAAGGCCAGCTCTTCCGGAGTATGCACTCATTCCGACTCGAAACCAAGGTACCAACAAAAACCGATGTAGAGGGAGTAGCTTTGGGAGGCATTTGCCATTGACTCAAGTCGGGCTTTGCAGCGATGGCCAACTTGTTGGGAGGACTCACAGAAGAATTGGCTTTGCCACCCGTTCTGAACGGAGCCCCGTTTTTGGATGCATCCAAAAACACCGTTCAAAGAGATCCTCTGACTCTGTAAAGGTGCAAAAAAAACATGGCCCAATGTTGTATCCTTTGAGGAACCCTGTTTCAGTGAAACAGTTGGTCGGTGACGTTGAAACAGAGAGCCCATTCTGGTGTTTACTGTTTTTGGGAAGCCACCCAACGAAAGGTCGAAAGATTGCCACTGAACGGAGGGTGCCATCTCCATAACTTTGTCACTTGAAAGGTCCTTCCTTGCAAATGGCCGCCTAAACCCACCGGCTCCGGACATCTGTCAGCGAAAAGGCACCTTGTTCACGCGTGATCAGAATATTGCAGTGCGGCAGAATCAAAGGCAAGAATTGAAATCGGCCTCCGCGAACTCCTGAAGGAGGGCAGAGGTATCCCAGCCCCTTGCTGGATAAGGAAATCTTAAAAGGACTCGATGCCAGAGCAGCGCCCAAACCCACGGAATGTAGTCATGTACATATATATATATATATATATATATATATACCTGCAATAATATCGCAATATACGTGTATGTGTTTCATATATATATATATATATGTATACAAATGATTCTAAACATATATACCAACATCACTCTGTGGGGCCGCTAAACGGCCGCTAAGCGCCGCCCGATTTCGCGCTCCCGGGAAATCTTTACACGAGCACCGCCGCGCGCTCGGCTTCGCAGCAGCTGGCTCGCAGCGGGAAGGTGATCCCGCACTTGAGATCCGACGGGCAGGTCACTTCCTGCGCAACGCTCGAAAATACTTTTGTGGCCAAAATGGGGCCAAAGACGAAAATGGAGCCAAAATGGAGCCAAAATGGAGCCAAAATGGAGCCAAAATGTGTACCAAAATATACCAAAATGGAGCCAAAGACGAAAACACCTCTTTTTCAGCCAACAACAAGAACGAAAGAGCCAAAGAACATCTTCAGACGAAAACCAAAAGATGATGGAGCCAAAGACGAAAAAAAAACTGTTCGGTTTGCCCGAGCAAACTAAAAAACATAATAGCGCCACGAATCTTAATGGGGGATTCTTTTTGGTGGACATTAGGTGGGGATTCATGTCAACCACTTCTGAGGTGGTTCCAACTCCTAAAATTCAAAGCCATGTTGAGCCACACCCACATGTGGCAAACCTGAAGAGGTTTCCTTGTGGAAGCCCATTGGTTTACCATCAAAGTCACAATCGATACAAATGTGAAAGGGAACCACCCCCATGTTCCGACTTAACCCAGTCCTTGTGGACATATGCACCTTGCGTTGGGAGTCGCATCCCAAGTTCTTTCGGGGATTGCCTTGGCAGAGAACCTTGGTCTTGGACCCGCTTCACAACCAACCTAGACCGGTTCTCAAAACCTTTGGATCTTCTCTTTGCCCGAAGGGATAAGTGGCGATCTATGGCACGGCCCCAAAACACCGGTAAATACGGCGTTTTCCTGTACGTCCTATGACCCAACCCTTTAAACGTGCTAACTCTAAGGGACCCAGCCGAGATTAGGGAACTCTCAAAATGGGACCTGGCTTCCTGATGGCTTCCCTTTACAGCCGGACAAAGCTTTGAGAAGCAACACCAAGGATTCCAAAACAAAACAAATGAGTGGTTCTCCTTAGACTCACTTCCCAAGTTGACTGGCCAAACAAAGTTTGAACTTTTTATTTACCACCAAAATGGTCTTTCCAAAAAGTTTAAAGTCCACCAACTCAGGAAGTGAGTAGAAGCTTGATGCAGTCTTCGCCAGGCGAAGCTCTGCTTGGTTTCAAGGGAAAACTGGCGATGAAAGCCGAACATGTTTGAATAAGAATGGCCTGCCTCGAACGGGATTCAACGACACTTGAGGGGAAATTCTAACAGGAAGGTCTCCAAAGAATCCATGCAGGGGTAGGGAAATCTGGTTTCAGCAGCCAGACCCCAGACCCTGCGAGAAACCAAAGAGGAAGATATTTCTCACAACAGTTTGACTCAGAGAACCTGTCTGGATTGTTCAAAGCAAAAACCATTTCCAAACTGTTTGTTTGCCCCTATTAGTGGCCTTCCAAAAAAGTGTGCTGTCCAGGACCTCTGGAAGTGAGTTGAACATGATTGAGGTGGTCCCAACCCCCCATGCCTTATGGTCGCGGAAGTAGACGTGGGCTGTGGAGAAGGTATCCACCATTCCCTTGAAGTCGCAATCTTCGTCGCAAGTGTTCTTGCCTTACCAGGCTTCCGAAGCACGAGACGACCTGCTGCAAGCCCCGGTTGGCTCAGGGGCGCTGGTTCCTTCCAAAGACGAGGGAGTTGCAACTCGCAACTCCCAAGCAAAGCGCACCAGCCGCCGACCATTTTTGAAGGGGGGACTCGCAATTCTGGGCCCTTCCTCTTCCGAAAACAAGCCAAAGGTTACCCCAAAAGAGACACACGGACAGAGCTGTCCTTATACCTGTGTGGCTGAGAGGGAACCAAACCCCCAGTCTAGAGGTATCTATAAATACCCACCCTGTTATTGTCCGGGAACCAAACATTCAACTACCAGAGCGTCCAACCGCTTACAAAGCCCAGTGGTTCCTTGATGCTCAAAGTGCAACCTGGGCCAGAAATAGACCCCCGGCAAAAAAATGACTTTTTGCCTCCTGCATCTGGATGTTCCGTACATGGCCGGGCTAGGTCGAACCATGAACCGAAATGGGTTGCCGGGTTTCTTTTGGTTTCCTTTTGGCTTCCTTCTTGAAACCAACCAGTTTTGGGCGAGGTAACGGTTATTTACTTTTTACCAGGGCTGGTTTTTTTTCCTAGGGCTGGTTTTCCGCAGGGCTGGCACCGGGGATGCGGCCAGCCAACCAACCAAGGGACAGGGACCAAGGGATCAGCCCTGGTTTAAAAAAAAACAAGAAGCCCTCGGAGACGAAAAAAGGAACACCTTTTTGGGCTTGCTCCCAAAAAAATGCACCTACGTATTTTTTTCCGTGGCCCACCTAAAAAGCAACCCCGAAACCCTTGAAACCCTACACCTGGCAGGAACCTGGCAGGAACCTGAACCACGCGCCGGGCCCCCCGGCACATCTTCTCGCTGTCCAGGCCAGCGGGGTCCCACTCGTTGGCTTTCAGGAAGGGGATGGAGACTTGGCTCAGGTGCGCCGCGAAGAAGATCGCGTTCATCTCCCCCTGAAAAAATAATAATCGGTTTTGGTGGGCGCGAGCCGCGGGGTCCAGAAAGCTTCAGTGAGTTTGAAAAAGCAGTTTGTTGACACAAACTGCCCCAGAAAGAACTCAAAAGAATCAAGTCACCCTTTTTGAGATCTCTGAAATTGGTGGGGTGCCCTTTGACAAGTCGAAGCACTTGGAGCACTTATGGAAGTTCTAGGGAGGTTCAGCTTTCCTCTGATTGTTGGATTGGTGGTTTGGAGGTTAGGCGGTTTCCCATCCCTACAAGCACCAGGTGCCAAACTCAAAAACTCGGTCGAACAATGGGTAGCGCTTGGGACAGGAAAGCTAACCGCCACCCCGCCCGGCCTCGTGGTACATGGCCACCACAGGGAAGAGGTTCTGCGCCATCCAGGACATGGTGCCGTCCTGGTGGTGGAAAAAAGAAAACACCCTTTCTCCCTCTATGATTTTGTAAGGGATGCCGGGATGCCGGGATGCCATCTGAAAAGGACATGGAAAAGATGGTGTAAATCACTGGGCCCCTTCATGATTCATTATCGCTACTTCACCAGGCTTAAGAAGAAACAAAGCGAAACCAGTGGCAACTTAAAACCAAGAATTCTCCACGTGGCCACCAGGCTGTGCAAGCAAGGATCCTGCTTGCTGGTGTCCAGGAACCAGTGGTAGCCCATGCCGTCAAAGCACGAGCCCTTGTGCCAGCCCTGCTTTTGCACTTCGGCCTGTCACAAGGAAACGGCGGATGCCCTAAATATTGCAAGAAGGGAACCAAGGAAACCCTCGGTTTGTGGGTGGCTTACTTGTAATTTCTCTGGGCATCCGCCGAATCAAGTACGATGCGATTTGGGCAGCAAGGCCTCCTTCAGCGGAATCGTCATGGACTTGCCAGCTCCACCCGCAGGATTCACAATCAGCGTCGTGCCCACGGACGCTGCCTGGGTACGGGAGACGGGGGGGGGGAGAGGTCGCCAAGTCCATTTACGAGTCGTCCCGAAAGGGAAGCGGAAATTTTGTGTGGACAAAATCATGCCCCACTTGGACACCATGGGAAACCATTGTCGGTTGGTATCTACGTTGTGGAATCATCAGAAACCAGGGTTTCTTAGGTGGTGCGAAATGGATTTCATCCATCCACAGTATGGCCGGGTCACCAATTCCCTGTTTCTCCAACTATTGGACGTCTTCAAAACGAATGGGAAAATGGAACTATTGATGGAATTCCTTTTGGAACCAAAAATGCAATGGAACTACAAATGGAAAATGGAACTACTGTGGATGGACAACATCTGCAGGTGGTTTGTCCCAGAACTGTCATCCATCCCGACTGGATTTTGTCCATCCCCATTAACTTCCGTTTGCTTCAGTCCCTTTGGAAAAAAGGTAAAAATATATGTCCAGTAGTGATCAACAGGGCAGAAATACCAACAGATTCCTTTCGGCAAAGGCAGCCCCCCCCTCCTCCCCCCTCCCCCCTCTCCCGTCTCCCCTCTCCCACACAGAAAGAGACAGCTCCCCAGTGGAAGCCCCCGGCTCCCCTTTCCAGGTGCCTCCGTCTTCCCGGAGCAAACGATCTCTCCGGAGCGGAACGCCACGTCGATGTGGGCCACCTCCCAGACCCGTCGATGTGGAACCCGGTTTGGTGTTGAGTAACCGTTGACCCCATGAACTCTTGTTTATTAATAGGGGGTGTTTCCGGCTTCTCAAAGTGGTACCAAACGGTAGCTATGTGCTCTCCGCTTCCCTTCTCGGTTGGGATGTTTTTCGGGTCATCAGACCTCCTCAGCGATATCCGCAGGCGCCAGGGGGGAGGCAGTGGCCCACTTCTTCTGCTCCGCTGGCATGGGGGAGTTTCCATCGTAGCCCACCACCTCGGTGGCAGAAAGATCGATCGGCCGAGATCGGATGGCCCTCAAATGGTCTCTCCACTAAACCATGGTGTTGCCGGCTTCAAGATGCCTTCGTGCATTCCGAAAACGCGTCATGAGCCCCTACCGAGAACCAGCAAGCTATGCCCCTGCTTTGTCTGACGGGAGTGATTGCTACATGGTTGGTAAACCGACTTGGGTTTACAGGGGAGGTGAACTGAGCCACATAGCCAAGTTGCTTGATGTTGAAAGGGATCTGGGTAAATTGCGACAAGGGGCTAGATAATCTCACCCATTATGATTTTATCATCATGACTCAATCTGGTCAAATGCCACTCCGCAATACTGTTCTAATTAGTTGGGCCTTCATCTTGGCTCGTTTCGCCCCCAAGTGAGCTTTTATTGGAGGCAAAAGAGGGATTCCGGGAAGCCCACTCGGAAAATGTCGGAAACGATGGTGTAACTCTCTAATCACGCTCTTGGAAAAATAGACCCCCAACATGGTTGAATCATATCCAATTAAAGCGGAAACCTCTTCCACTCACAATCTGATCTCACTTTCAAGCATGCAGAACTAGGCACCTTGTCGGCACGTTCAGCCGGCATGCAACCTGAAAAAGTCAAAGTTTTGCACACCGGTCAAAAGCGAGACAGGGCTCGCCAATGTCCCCGTAAGCATCACGTCACGAACAAATGACACTCGCTTTTCAACAGCTTCTAAAGGTGGTGGTTCATTCCACCAAAACTGAAAAACTAGGAAGCCCCTGCAAAGAGTATCAACAAACAAGTAAGGCTTTGGTCTGGCAATACAGGGCTCGCTGGATTTTCCCTCGACAGGTTGCGATTTGTTGCGGGTTCCACTAAAAGTGTCACTTTTGGGGGTCCAAAATCGGAAAATTGAGAAAGGCTTCCTGTCACTTGCAGCTGGGGCACGGTCATACCAACCCCCGACACCTGGCCGCCTTGAGTGGTGTACAGCACGATGGGCGCGGATTTGGTGTTGCCTGCCAGGGTTGCACTGGACATTGTTCTCAAGACCCCAAAAGGCCAGGTAGCAGCAGTGTTGGACTCACACCTTGGACTTGTTTGAAGCCATGCCTCCTCTTTGCTTCCCCATTTTTAGGACGGTCTGCTTGAAACCGATGTTTGGCCCAGCCTGCCGCCTCCTCGGTCCAGGCGTAGCCCAGGTGCGGGTCGCAAGTCGACCCGTGCTTGTGCCAGCCCTTTGCCTGGAACGAGCAGGGGCAAGTTATGGAACCTGACAGAAGGGACCCCCTGTCAGGTTCCGTGTTAATGTAACTACCGCGTTTCGGAACATGTCTGGTCTTAACCCCGGATTGATAGACCTGAGTTTGTAATTCTGGGGGTGGGGAGACAGACCACTTTTGGAGGGGAAAACCCCCAAAAGTAGTAAACTGGGGTTGCTCTCGTGTGGGTGTGGCTGAAAAGCAAAGACACAGAGAACCGCAGATGTTATTCTACAAGCTGGGGATGGGGGGTATGTAAGCCCTCTGCTTGAGCCGCAGCCATGTAGCTTTCCTTTCTACCGAGCTCTCTCAAATCCTGTTGATCCCACAGGGCATATGCAAACAAACATGGTTCAACTAGCTCCTTTCGATTGCGGGTCATCACCCTGGCAACTGGTTCTTGAAGCCACAGGATGTTCCTAAACCCAGCGATTACGCATGGCTGAAGGGAGGTCGTGGGGTTGCACTTTCCTAGAGCAAAGGGATGCCCTGTTGCATTCCATGTGAGAGGGAGGGAAGTCAACCCTTTCACTAGAGCAAAATAGAGATGTTCAATCGCCTGAACAGGAGACCTCAAAGCCAAAACCAATCGAAGAGAGGAATCCACTGCATAAGAATCAGATGGTGTTGCAGCAGCCGGTTGTCAAGTTTCATTTTAGTTCCAAGGTGTGTATGTTCGCTTGAGCAGCACTAAACCAACTAGAAATGCTCTAGTACGTCTTTCCTTGGCCAGAATTGGACTCTGAGGTACACCAAATACATCAGATTCTGCTTCACAGTACGTCATGATCACCATCTTAAAAGGGTTCTGCTCGATTCTGAGTCCTGACTCAATATTGTCCTCGGATCACTCAACCCCCCCCCCCAACAACAAAAAACATAAACCGGGGGTGATGAATCCGTGCCTTCAAGGCCGCCTCTCCCATGGGCAACTCCGTGTACATCAGGAAGGACCGCTCCATCTCATGACCTCCACAGGTCGAACAAGGGACCAAACGAAAAATCCCAGCCGCGTTGTAAAGGATCCCCTCGCAGTTGTCCAGTGACCCGGGGGGCAAAAAAGAAAAAAACACCTGGGCCCCTGTTGTTCATGGGCCACCCAACAAAAAGGGCAAAGGGTGCCGCTGAACAACTGGGACCGAGATGATTGGTGTCCGGGGCGTCTTTGAGGCTTAGCACCCAGTTACAGGCCCGCCCCCCGGCCCAGGAAGGACGAACCTGGCCGTTGACCTCGTAATCCAAAAGAAATCCACCCCAGAAACCTTTGTGGGCTTTCAGTTGCGACCCCCCTGTGTTTTCCTTTGCCATGATCCAGCACTACTTATGTCACGCTTCAAAAGCTGTGATGAAGGTCCTTTTCGCGCGGATCCAATTCTTATTTCAGGTCTTGTAGCGGTCCAATCATGTAGGTCCCGGTGTTGGAAACGTGGGAAACAACAAGGGGTTCTGGCTAACCCCTGGTTCCACAGATCCACGTCTCCAGCGGGCCCACATGATTGGCCACAAGGACTTTAACAGGAAGCTTACCCCTTAAAACTCCAAGCCCAGGGGAAGTTAATCTTTTACAGACATATAGCCCATGTTACCCAAAAAGTTGAAAAGTTGTGTTTTGAAGAGGTAAGGAAGCCTCCATACCTTGAGGGAGCTGTTGGAGCGCCCGCCGAAACTGAAGCCACGAACTCAAGAAGCCGAACGCCGAGCGCCTTCTGCCGCTAAGAGCCTGAAACGGAAATTGGATCCCCAAGAAAAAAGGGCCCTTCATCACAGCTTTCGCTCGTTTACCTGCTGCTCGCAATACCCAAAGAAATGAAAATCTCCGCAGCTCTGCGTGCAGTTTGAGGCACCTCCGAAATGGTCATGGCCCAGATGCAAAGATGCCCCCAGCTCTGCAGAGGCAGAAGCCACAAGTGCCGCGGCGGCGGCGGCTTTCCTGAGCGCGCGGCGAATCTGTGGCTCTACCCCTGCGGGATACCAACAGAGGACCAAAAGAGTACTGAAAAGGGACCAACACGGAGAACAACAGAAAAACATCCACTAAAGGCGAATCCAAACCTTTTGGATGAAAGTTCAACATAAGTCCCTGTAAACTTAGACTTTCAAGAATGAAAGTAACTTTTAGCGGGCCATGCTATGTCATAATCCCTCCAGGCTCCAAAAAATGGTATGGCTGGGAAGCGCCGAGTGTCATCATCATGGCTCTAACGACTCAGAGCTGGAAGAGGTCCAGGCAGCCCAACAAGCTGAGGCAATCGGCTGCGGATCAGCTGATTTTGGATGCTGATGGCTGTGAGGGCACACTCGCACAACTCCCCCGGTACTGACCCAACTGTGAAACTGTGGCCATCTACTCTCACCCAACTGCAACTCAAAATGCTTCCGCAAATTACACTCATCTCGGCCAAACAGATCCGACCTCTGCAGAAAGTTAGCTTGTTGCTGGTCAAAAAGAACAATAGAGGAAACCGCGAAAAGGGCGAAAAGCTTGTATCAGTCTGGCAATGCTACGCGCTCAACACATTTATCCGGTGACACCACAAAAGCGGGTGACACTTAGAGAGAGAGAGGGAGAGAGATAGAATTAGATGAATCCTCCGGGAGCCGAAAAACGGTTACCCTCACAGAGAAAGTGAGGGAGAGAAAGAAGGACAGAAAAAAAAGGAAGGGAAGAAAGAAAGAGAGCACGCACAGAGACACACTCCGCATCGAGTGCCCAGGCCACTCTCAGCTCCTGCGTGGCGGCCCTGAGGCTCTCCCCGTCCTGAGGCCAAGCCAATGCTGTCCGTTCGGCCGACACACGTCCCCGGATCCATAGGAAAGGGGAATGAAGGAAGATAATGTGAGAGGCGAGGGAAGAGAAAAGAAACGTCACTAGAAGTTCAAGGACATGTGCTTTCTAGTGATGTTCCCATAGGTTGAGTCTATGAATTTCGAGAAACCCTGTTTGAACTGGTGGAGTCTCCTTATTTAGCGCATGCCCATACTCTGTATGTACCCACCACTAAGCAAAGGGGTTATTAAATCAACATGATGGAAATTGTGCCATCTACTTTCTCCCAATTGTTGCAAAAAGGCATTGCATGCGAATTGGTAGACAAAGGGTATTGTGTCGGTTTCATGCTCTGGAGATACCCATTCTTGTTATATCGTGGGCCTTTCATCTCATGTATGTGACAGAAATGCCTAAATCACTAGAAGGATGTTTGTGGGGGACATACTTTTTGGAATAACATATCAAACATGATTTAACCCATTCCAGTTGTGTTTCAGCTGGTATATGGCCTTAGTGCCCTTACTGCATCTTGTGTAGATATGTTTTCGAACAGGTAGTTCATCATCCATTTGCTTAACCCCCCTGAGAAAAGAAAGCATCTGCCCAGTATAAAGTGATAGGTTCCGTTCAGAACAAACAGGCGGAAATCGTATGTTCTTAGAAACAAATGGAAGTAACGGGTGCGCCGATGTTTGAGCTTGCCGCTGTGAGCGGTGGTTAGACGCAAACTCGCCTGAACAAGAATGGAATTGAGCGGCCCAGAGACTGATCATTTTGTCCTGGCTGCATTCTGGAGGCATGGCCATGCAGCTGTTGCATGCTTAGGGCCAGCTTCATGTAAATGAAGGGATCAAATCGGTTACATGCTTGGAGCTAGTTTCAGGAAAGCATCGAAACGCAACCGTTTGTTTCATCGGGCGTATTTGTTTCCACGCATGGGTTCACAGCGCTCTTGTGTGGATCTCACTCTGGGCGTTTCCAGAAAAGCGATCGGCTGTGGATGTAAAGGGTCAAGCGATCTCACAAAGGGTTTGTCCGGTTTGTGACCTCCATGAGGCCTCCTTTTTGTCCTGCACTACTTGAACCCCCTCAAAACCCCAAAACACCGAAAACACCCCCAACACCCCACACCGGCCCAAACCCCTCGAACCCCCCAAACACCCCAAACAGCCCAAACACCACCGAATCCACCCAAACCCTCCAAGCCCCCCAAGCCCAGCACCCCAAACACCGCAAACACCCCCCAAACACCCCGAACCCCCCCAAACCCACCAAATACTCCAAACACATCAAGCACCCCAAAAACCACCTCAAACACCCCAAACACACCAAAACACCAAACAAGCCCGAAATACCCCAAACCTATCCACAACCCCCCACCCCCCCCCCAACCAAACCCCCCCAAGGCCCCCAAACACCCACCAAACCGCCCGCAACCTCAACACCACAGCCGCCCTGAAACCCTCCAATCCTTTGGCTCAGAACCCTCAAGCCAAGCGGCGGAGCTTCCGCCTTTGCCCTCCAGCCTCAGCTCACCCGCTTGGGAACTGAGGTGCGTTTGGTGGAGGGGGTGTTTGGGGGGATAAAACTTATGACAAAATGGTTCCCCCAAAACTATGCAGCATTGCGTAAAGAGCCCCATGACAAACCGAAGACAGCTCTGGCGACTGAACAGGCTCCAGCCACAAACAGGCGCAGACACACAAACACATACACACACACACACACACACACACCCACGCCCACACACACACACACACACACACCCACCCACCCACGCACCCACCCACCCACCCACCCACGCACGCACGCACGCACGCACCCACGCACGCACGCACGCACGCACGCACGCACGCACGCACGCACGCACGCACCCACACACCCACACACACACACACACACACGCACGCACGCACGCACGCACGCACGCACACCCACGCACACGCACACGCACGCACACGCACACACACACACACACACACACACACAGACACAGACAGACACACCACACACACACACACACACACACACACACACACACACACACACACACACACACACACACACACACACACACACACACACACACACACACACCCACACCCACACCCACACCCACACCCACACCCACACACACACACACACACACGCACACGCACACGCACACGCACACGCACACGCACACGCACACGCACACGCACACGCACACGCACACACACACGCACACGCACACGCACACGCACACGCACACGCACACGCACACGCACACGCACGCACGCACGCACGCACGCACGCACGCACGCACGCACGCACGCACGCACGCACGCACGCACGCAACCAACAAAAGTAGGTCCCGCCAAATTTGCTGGTTCTCAGTCGGGAATCGCCTTGCTTTTTTGGGACAAGGGGGTTCAGGGCAATAGAAACCATCTTAGAAAGTTGTTCGCCCTCTCTCAGGCCAACATTCTAAGAGTGAACATACATACCCCCGTGTTATGGAGTTCTTTGAACTCACTTGCATACCCCTTGCAAGGCCAAGGCTTGAACAACGGTATGTCAAACGGCTACGTACACCACTAGAAACTCGGAAGCTGCAAAACCTCCCTTGGATGAGCCTCTAGGAGGCTTTTGGTGTGTTGGGGTACGTGGCAATTGAGTGTGTAGCCACCCCGCCTTGCCAGTCCCTCTCAAGATGCAAAAACGGATGGAAGCCCAGGATGAGTAAACTTCTCATCCCCTTTTACAGAGAACCTTCATTTTCGGGGAACCTCCTAACTTTCAATCTGCCAGACCATTCATCCAAACGCTACATGCGATTGTAGCTTGCAAGGAGTGGAGCTAGTTGCTCTGACACCTTCTGTGTCATCTTGAGCCATCTTGAAAGGTCGTCCCCAACAAAGATCACACTGCGGGCATGATGCTTAAACTGGGAACCCTTGGTGGACATGGGTTACGTGGGGATTTATGCCCACCAGCAGTTTGGATCGACCCATCTTCGGCTTTGTCGGACAGGGTTCCACATTCTCCCTTAAGCCATGATCATTATCTCTACCAAGGAAAACTCGCCTTTCATGTGCCAAAGTGGCCGTCCCCATTTCCCAGAATTTGCCTTAAATGTGCCAAAGAGGGCGTCCTCATTTCCCTTCAAGGGCAGTCTGATTTTGGGCCAACTCAAGAGGCTTTTCCTTCGCTAGGGTGATCTTTGAGGGGCAATACGGGGGACGTCTCAAAGTAGGTGAACCCCCAACATCGTTGGCTTCCCCTTGGCTTCCCTCTCAACCGACCTTAACCGGGGTATATACCCTCAAAGTGTATATATATATATACATATACACGCGTCCTTTTGGCAAAATAGAAGACGCTGGCTCCAAAACCTAGCTTTTCTACAAAAAGACTATTCAAAGTCTAATATATATATATATATGGACAAATATATATATATATATTATCTTTGTGGATATGGTTTTTGTATTTGGATATATATATATATATATGTCTGTATATGCTTGTTTTCTCCGAGGGGCTTTCGGAGGAGGTCCTTCATCTCCCGCCAGCCGTCTCTGAACTCCGAGAGCACCGTCTCGCGGCCCTACGTCACACACCGTCGGGGGTGAGTTAAGTGAGCCGCAATCAAAACCCGGCAAATTGGCCGACCAAGGCCCAGAACCAGGCTTCAGCAGAGAAGCCGGATATTCGCAGCTCTTTTTCCTCAGGTGAGGCTACCCCATTTTCGAGGGAAAAGAACGGGCAAGTGGTGCAGTCTTGGCAACAAGTCTTGGGTTGGGACCAGCTCAACCTTCAAAGCTGTCATGACAGCTATGTCAAAACAAAGGATGGGTTGTCCAGCCAAGAATAAGGATCAAATAGGTCTGGGACCAAAGCCGGTTGCGCAATACCAGTACGGGAAGTTCGAGCTGGCTTTACAGTTTCCTAGCCAGAAACCGAGAAATTGAACCAAGTGCTTTGGCTTTGAAAAGAGAACCGTAGTCTTTTGGGTGTCAATTTGAAAGGGCATGTCCACCACCACCCACGCCCTACTCAAAGTGCTCCTCTGATAACTTCTTCAAAACTATCCAGTGGAAATTGAAGAGAGAAGTCACGCCTGAGTGTCTTCTAGTTGACGCCCCCCTTTCGGTTGTATTTGTTATCTTCTTTTTTTCGTGTTATGCTGCAAGCCACCAAAAAATGGTAACAATTAAAAAAAAATACTTCGCTTCGAGCAATCCCCACCCTCCACACTCACGAGCTTACGACCGTGGACACAGTTGTGAATTCAAGCATGGTTTTCGAGTGGCTTGGGGCCTATGACTGCTCACAAGCTTTGCATTGAGAGCCTTATCCACCTGTCGGTGTGTCAAACTCCACTTGTCTGCGAGCCGATCTCGAGAACTCAAACATCGGTTCCGTGAAAACAGCCAAGCCCCTTCGGGGGATTAAACGAAGTTGCTTATTCACAACCCAAAGCAACACAAAAGCATCGCCCTTTCCGAGCCTCAGGGTACACTCAAAACACGAAGGCACCAACATGAACCCAACTGCGCGCCAAACCAGACTGGCGAACTCTGGCGGGATTTTGGCGGGATCCACTGGCGAGTACTTGCGAGCCGCTCCGGCTCGATACTGGCCGGATACTCGGCAGGATCCGGCAAAGGATACTCAGCAGGATGCTCGGCGGGATCCACTATCAAGCTACTCTGGCGGGATACTCGGCGGGATCCACTGGCGAGCCACTCTGGGCTCAGCGGGACACTCGGCGAGATCCACTGGCGAGCTACTCTGGCGGGATACTTGGCGGGATCCACTCGCCAGCTCCTCTGGGATACTCAGCGGGATACTCGGCGGGATTCACTGGCGGGCTGCTCTGGTGGGATACTCAGCGGGATCCACTGGCGAGCAGCTCTGGCGGGATACTCGGCGGGATCCACTGGCCAGCTGCTCTGGCGGGATACTCGGCGGGATCCACTGGCGAGCCGCTCTGGCAGGATACTCGGCGATATCCACTGGCGAGCCGCTCTGGCGGGATCCCGCCACTCGGCGGGATTGACTGGCGAGAAGCTCTGGCGGGATACTGGGCGAGATCCACTGGCGAGCAGCTCTGGCAGGATACTCACGGCGGGATCCACTGGCAAGCTGCTCTAGCCGGATCCTGGGTGGGGGCGTGGTGTAGAAGCATCGCAAACGCGGATTCCAACATAAAATCTAACAACCCCTTCCTGTCGGGTGGGGAAAAACACTCATTTGGGTTCCATCTGGAGCCACACCCACTCGGGCCTCGTCTCTTCCATCCCCTTGCCTCTCCTTGCAGAGATGAAACGAGCAAACAAACGCTCGTCGCGCCGCGAGAAACCTCTCTTAGCCCAAGAAATCATCAACCACACCATAGTTTGCAAGGTCCCCACCGCCCCCTCCTCCCCCAAGAAAACAGAAAGAAAAAAAGAACACACTAGACCCCCCAAGCTTCCATAACACAACAGACTGCTCCCGTAGCCAATGTGAAGGCAAATGGCCCAGAAATCCGGTGGCAATTGCTCAAAGCCCTGGTTGCTGGTTGAAATTTCGAAAAGCGCAAACTCCGTGTTCCCAAACCAAATCTAGTAAAAGCGACTTTGACCAGCGAAGAGAAATGATCTGACCCTGGCACAAGAGTAGAAATGGCTTCGCAGGGCAAAGGGAAACCAAAGGAAATTGGTCCCCGATTTCAGGTTTGGAGTAGCCCCGTTGAAGAAAACAAACCAGAGCAACTACAAAAGTGCCCCTGAAAAGGTTGCTGGTGCCTTTTGACTCGTAGGTTACCCTCCCACCAATTCACATGGAGCCAGGGTCGTGATTTGGACTGTGTTCCTGATAGGTCACCGTCCTGGGCCCTCAGGGCGCCGAGGATGGGCGAGAGGTCCGGACCCTCGCGCGTCGCCGCCTTCACCTCACTCAGAACGCCAGGATGCCACAAAAGGAGAGGGCACATCGGGAAAACCCAATGGCAAATCTTGAGCCAAGCCAAGAGTGTGTGTGTGTGTGTGTGTGAGTTCCACTCTGAGAGTGAAATCCGTGTGGCAATCCGCCAATTTGTCTGGACAAGGACCAAGGCCCACCATCTAGAAGGTGCTTCCCCAGGAATCAGCCAAGGGTTGCAAAATGGCCGCGGGGACCGTCCAACCAGCCGAAACCCCTTGAGGGTAACCTCTGGGAGTGGTTCGCGGAAGACTAGCGTAAAGCATAGGGGAAAAAACCCTTCGGGTGGGGGGGGGGGAGGATGTGCACTGTCGACACACTTAGAGTCTATCTTGAAACCACCTCCCTAGGCCCTTTGTGTTGTCATACTGGCCAAACTGGGGGAAGCCAAACAAAGAGGCAAACATTTTGCAAGTTATGCAGACCACTCATTCTGAGCCTTCCCGTCGCGGACGCTTCCGAACGGTTGCGAACGGCTGCGAACAACATGTCAAAAGGGAACCATTGGCTACGCTCTTGCTGTGGAGGATGCGTGTTTCACGTAGTTGGAGTTGGAGGAGCCCTTTCTGAAGGGGAAGGGGGCTTACCCAATCTTAGACGAATGCCCCCATATCAGGATTTCGAATCCTAAGAGGTTTGCTCAGGGTCGTCCGCCATGGCAACAACCACCTGGAAACAAGCCCAAAAGTTCAGTCCCCAAGAACTTGATGGAAGTAGTCCAGACCCAGGCGGGAACACAACTGGTGCTGGAGTCAAGGAGAACTCCCTGCACTGCCAAAAACGAACCAAAGCAACATGCCATGCCAGTTTCAAGATATCGACCAACCATTGGGATGGATCCCTAAGTGCAAGTAAACCAACCACGTCCAATCATCTTCCCCCGCAATATCTAGTGCATCCATGCACACTCTTTTTGCCTCTTGTGCCTCACTCTCTATCTGCCAGGACACTTTTGGTCCTGGGCCTTCTCAAAATCGGATTTGGACCCCCCAAACAACTGGTTGGTTCCATATGAACTTCCTTCAAACCGCAAGGGGAAGTCCATGTCCAATTTGTCAGACCTAGCTCTGTCTAGCCCTCTTCGCACACGGCATCGAGTGTTCTCGGGTGCGCTTAGCGCGGACGTCGGCAAAAGCTTCCAAGCAACGCACCACTTCCTCGTGGCCGTTCAGGGAAGCAAAGTGCCGGGGCGTATGCCCCCGGAAATTCGTCTTGCCCTTGTCAGCGCCAGCCTTTAACCTTGGTGACTATTCCCCTCTGTGCTAAAAAACAACGTTTCACTGTTGGTGGGTTGGTCGGAAAACATTGGCAAAGATCTGACAAAATGGCAGCCAAGTCACAAGCAACGTACGACCTCGAGATGGCCCTCTTCGGCCGCGAGATGCAAGGGTGTGAGCCCGAACTTGCTGGCCTTGTCCTTGTCGGCCCCAGCTGCCAGCAAGCAATGAACAATCTCCGCATGGCCGTCGTCCGCAGCGAAATGCAGAGGCACACGCCCAAGATCGTCGGCCTTGCCGGTCGTAGCGCCGTATCTCAGCAAGCAGCGGGCTACTTCCGTATGCCCGTTGGCAGCTGCAAAATGAAGAGGCGTCCAGGAGTCTGTATCAGTTTTGTCTGGATCAGCGCCAGCTGCCAGCAAGCAACAAGCAACTTCATCATGACCATTCTCAGCGGCAAAATGCAGAGGAGTGCGCCGGTCATCCTCAGTCTTGTCCAGTGCAGCGTCAGCTTGTAGCAAGCAACGCGCAACCTCCAAATGGCCGCAGGTGGCGGCGACATGCAAGGGCGTGAACCCGAAATTGTCCGCCTTGGGTCCATTCAAGTGACATCCTCCAAATTACCCTCTAAATGGACATGTGCCAAAATGGGGACCCCAAAAACTGGCGGCTTCCCCGTTATGTCCCTTTCAACAAACCCCCAAAATCACACCCAGCTGGTGGAGCTCCCAGCTCCTTTCAGTGATCTTGAGAAGGCCCGGCCTTGTTTCTGTCGGCATTGGCCTCCAGCAACAGGCGGGCGACTTCGTCATGCCCGTGCTCCGCGGCGAAATGCAAAGGCGAGCACAAGTCCTGGGCCAATCCCCTGAAACTTGCTTAGAGAACCTGTTTAACAACACCTTCTCTCAGTTTTCCTTAAAAGGGGGAATCCCAAGGCCTGGTGGTGAAAATACAAGTTTGGTCCCACCACCTGGCGGTCTTTGACCCTCTGCAAAAAGTCAAGTTGTTTTTTTTGCCGGCGAGAAAAAACCCGCAAATATGGGACGGGAGATTCCCTTGATCCGACCACCCTGGTCTTGAGTCTTTGGTTTTTTTCTTCCAGGACCCCTACCCACCCCAAAAAGGGCCTTTGGACGGCCTGCCCTAAAGCTCCTCTGCCTTTCTTGCTTCTTGCGGCTGAACATTTGGCGAGACCCCTTGGACATCCTTTGGGGATTCATGTGGCTCGTCCTGGCCGGCGAAGCTCGGATCCAAGGGCGCGTCCAGCCACCGCTTCACCTGCAGAACACGGCCGGTGCGGTTGAGAGGGGAGGGAGGGAGAAATGGAACCCGAGGAAATGTCGGCCCGCCGGTGGTTTCCTGTAAGGAAACTGGGTTCATTCCCAGGTTCTCTACTGAGCGCCAGCAAGTAGACGAAGTCCCACGAGAAAAAGCGCACACAGACATGGTTAAACCACATGGACAAAAAAGACGGCACCAGTCAAAAAATGGATGGGTGAATGGATGGACGGACGGACGGATGGATGAATGGCTGGCTGGATGGATGGATGGGTGGATGGGTGGATGGGTGGATGGGTGGGGGAGATGGGAGATGGGAGATGGGAGATAGGAGATGGGAGATGAAGATGGAGATGGGATGTGGGATGGGATGTGGAATGGGATGGGATGGGATGGGATGGGATGGGATGGGATGGGATGGGATGGGATGGGATGGGATGGGATGGGATGGGATGGGATGGGATGGGATGGGATAAATGGGATGAATGGATGACACCCCGTGAAAACTGGGATAAGCGTAGCTAGGCCATCCACAGTGTCATTAAAAAAAAAGGAATTGGACCCAATCGGGTCTGGTTTACACTCGTGTAAGGGGACCCTCCAAAAGGAGATTCCTCTACAGGAGTTGTCTGGGGTCCGTGTGGGACGGGCTGTCAAAACGGTGGCCCCCCTGTTGGTAGCTGGAGGAAGCCCTAAGGAAACCACCCGTGAAGCCGGGGTTACCCTGCCACAAACAAATAAACCGGGCATTTTCATCATGGACCACAACTTTTGAGAACCCTTCTATGTGGCTTTGGCTCTAAAACATGTGCCAAAATCGCACCCTGATATACCTTGGCAAGTGGAACCAAAGACTAAAACCTGCGTAACCCTAGCTCTTCGATTTTGAGCCACCGCCTCCGCCGCATCCCCCTGGGACGCTGCTTGGCAAAGCGCCCGGTGCCCCTCCGCGTCCTCCGACAACGGCCGCACCAGGACGGCCAGAGGCGCAGAGGATGCGTCCGGCGCATCAGACGAGAGGTGGTCCAACCTGAGGCGACTGACTGAGTCGCCATCAGAAGCTCTAGGGGGTGATTCCAACCGTTCTTTTCAACCATCGTTCTTTCCCAAAACCGGCCGTTTTCCCTGGGTTTCCGGAGGTCTTCTAGAAAGAAGGATCCCTGAAAAAGAATGGAGTTGGAAGGTACCCCTAGAAAAGCTTCAAGTGCCGCAGCCCCCACCTTCGAAATTTTGATGGGAAGGGTTCGCAGGGGAAGCTTCTGATCGACAGGGTTCAACAACTCCTTGGATTGCACCAAGTGCTGGGGGGCGTAAGGTTTCTCCAAAAAGCGTCGGAAGCCGACTCACCGCCGGAGAAAAAGAGAAGCCATCACCTTTTCAAAGAACATCCAATGAATGAAGAAGCAAGAAGGGTGTTACCGCTTTTGGAGGCACGAGGGACGGAGCGGCTCGCTAAAACATCCCAGAGTTGCGAAAAGACCCAGAGTATGGGCCTTCGTTTCCACATAGAAACCCCGGAAAGTAACCAGGGCTATCCTGGGAGGCGCCTTGAGCGTCTATATTTCTTGCCGCGACAAGGAAACGAAGGAACCACCATAAGCATCGAAATGTTCAACAGCGGCAACAAAAGAAAGGAACAACGACTACCAACCAACATTTGGCCGTGGGTCAACCCTGTACCCCTTGTGAACATCAAAATAGGTGGCAAATGGATGTTCATCCATCCCAAAATGGAGCCATAGTTTATGCCCCATGGCCATTTAAACTACGAATAGAAAGTGCACCTTGCTCAAAACGATCCACAAATCCCTTTGTTGCTGTTGACCCCTCTGCAAAAAGTGAATCACTTTTTGTGGGTTTAGTGAAAAACCCAACTTCACTTCAACCAAAAAGTGTTCAGGTCTAAAGATCCAACCCAAGAGCAGTCAAGATCCAGGCAACACCGCGCTCCCGCTGACCACCCGCAGCTGCCGGAAGTTGCTCATCCGGCGGTGCCTGGCCACCTCCCGCCGCAACTCCTCCAGGACATCGCCGGACGCGGACTGATCTGGGCGGACCGGCGTTGCCGCTGATCGTCGTTTTGGCCCCAGGGCTTAAAGGGAAATCCTAGCTGATCTTTTCTTAGGAGAGCTAGGACTTAAAAAAGAATCCTAAGGTTGCCACAGGTTTGGACTTTTGGCCCTCAAGAATCAAGGGACACTTTGAAAGGCATCTGAAACAGAGCTGGGGAAAAAACCGCCTCCTTTTTTGCAAGACATACCAACCCGCTTCAGTTAAAAAAGAGACAATTCTTGCCAGCTGCTAGTGATAGATTCCCTTTGAACCCAAAAAGGGGGAGAAAAGAACATAGTCTTACGCAAACGGAAGCTGAACACCTGCAGGGGAGGGTTTGGTTGACCCAGCCGCCTTCCTGCCATTGAGCAAACTGCTGCGCCGACATCACCTCCTGCCCGCCCACCGCCATGATGACCGCCATCCGGCTTTCTCCACACCAGGCTCGCTCGAGGAAGTTCAGACTATGTTGCGACCATGGCAACCATCCCCTCCTGTCCCACTCACAACCATAAGTATGACCCAAGTAGAACGTTGCGCAATGTTGATCCCTTGCTCAAAGTGATTGCCGGTCGAAAGCGACTTTCGGCAATGTTCTCAAAAAAACAACTGCGCTTTTGGATGGTGTTTGCAGAGGGTAATGCACTCTTACCAAGCAAAGGGTTATGCCGGCCACCAGGAAATGAGGTCCCTTCGTGGCTTCCCAATAGCGATTGCGGATCAAATTACGAATCCAAGCCACTGAAGAGCCCCAGGTAGCTCTGACCATGTTCCCTTTGTGCTTGAAAGCACTCATGGTGCCTCCTATAGCTAAGCTCGGACCTCGGGCAGCGAATTCTCCTTCAAGCACTTGCCAAGCTGTCCCAAGGAAACCAAAAGCAAGCCCACCCTTTGAGCCCCCCACCCCCCACCCCTCCCATACTTCCATGTTCAGCTGGTTTGAACGTTACCTCTCGGAAAGGCGGATTGAACGTGAGCTTCCTTTTGGCACGCAGGAAACACTGTTCAAGCTTGCCAAGCACAACGTCAACATGGCGCAAATGGTCGGATGGAACCCAACAGTGAGACAAAAGCATGTGCACCCTTTTAAAACTAAGAGAGTTGCTTGCATTACACCCTGGGAAGACACCCACCAAACGCTTTTGCATGTTGGTCATTCCCCATGTTAGGCAATGTTAGGAGTCATTTCCCAAGGTGAAATGCTAGTGAGTAATACAGAAGCACTTGGAGTAAAGGAGCGCGGTCCATCACTCAAATGAAAGACCAACCATGGCAGTGTTTAGTGTAAGTACTCCACTAAGGGGAAAGCCCCTGTGTACATTGTAAGATCGTATGAGCAGCACCAAACACCCATTGACTTGCGGTTCGCTAACATGGTCATGAGAGTAAAGATATGTATATGACTTGTGTTCATCTCTGTTTAACCAGAAATGGCCAAGGTGGGTTTTGGGCGCTAGGTCAACCCCGCAACAAGACCAGCCCAACAAATTCAAGGGCTCAGCTTAGCAAAAGAAGGCCACAAGGTCCGGATCCCGGGTCTTCCTCCCTTGGGCTGAAAATAAGTGCCAGAGAAAGTCCCAAGACACACCACAAATTGCTCCCACTCAACGTGTGCAACCTATCAGATTGTAACCATGGTTGCAGCTGCGGTAAGTCTCCATACTCACATTGCCACAACCTCCGTGGCAATGGTAGCTATTGTCAGAAGAGAAGCACAACGTGCGCCTACATGTTTCTTCGCGTGGATGCCGACCCAAACCTTGTGCGTGTTGGTTGGACCGGGACGTTAGTGTTGCAGTGCGATGGATTGGCCTGCTACAAGTAAACCGCCGCCCAACAACACCCTGGCATGCGCTAAGCCACGTGCTTCCCCTTGCAATATTCGGGGCATCCACATTGACATTCTGCGCCTCTGTGCCTCAGTCCCTAGTTGCCCCCCTTTCGGACCTTCCGCGCCTTCCAGCGGCCCATGGCACCCATCGCCCAAAGAGGAACATCAGTCCGTAGATAAGTGAAGAAGTGATGTTCCAACTGGCAACGGGAATGGCCCATGAATCTGAAACAGGGACCCTTGGACAATGCATTCATGTCCTCTTTTTTTTTGGATTGTTCCCTCTTGACATTCTCAAATCCAGAAAGGGTCGCTCTTTAATCTGTTTTTCCCCCCGAAAACCAAAAGAGGGGGGGAAAAACAAACCCCTCTTCAGTCTCTTTCTTCCCAAAAACCAAGAAAGCTAAAAATTAAAAAATCGCCCATTTGCTGGGCTCCGGCCCCCCCTTTCAGCCCCCTTTCAGCCGAAATCCCGAGGCCACGGCGGCCGCCAGCTCCTCCTGGAGCTGCAGCAGCTCTCGCGTGGGCCTCTGAAGGCCGGGTCCCAGCCCCTCCCGGGTCCCCCTCTTCAGCTCGTTCAATTTTTAGCAGCTCAGTAAATGTTTGTTAAAACTGATAAAGTAATTGTGGCTAAGTAAATAAGTAAATGTTTGGTTGTTTTTTTTTGGAAGGGGAGTTCAACCACGAAACCACAAGAAGCAAAAATGTGAAACAAATGTTTCCCGACAACAACCATGCTCCCCCCCCCCTCAAGGAGCAGGCTTCGCCATCCCGTCAACGGGCCAGCGGGTGTGATTCACTGATGCCTCGCACACAGTACCGAGTCGAAGAACATGTGCCTCACACCAACAATCGTTTCTCGTTTCGAAGAGTCGAACATGCACATTTGACTGATTACGACTGTTCGCCTTGCTTGAGAGGCGAGAAGAGCACCAACCCCAAGGAACTGGAGGAAACTGGTGGCCCCTTTGCCCTTCCAATGGCTGCTTGAACTCAGGCAAATGAAATCGGCTTCCTCGGCTTCGCAGGAAGTGGCACCTTTTGCCCGAAATGTTTACCCAGGGGTTTTCTGCTCGGTGCAAACGTGGGGGCAAACTGCCTTGCAGACGCATGCCAATCTTTGAAGGAGCAGAGGGAGCCCTAAATTCGCCTTTGGTTCTCTCTTTGGCAAGCGACAAATGCCGGTACGTCGTGGACCGTGATTTACTGCGGTTCACGACACCCACTGTCACTATCAACATAAGCATCGGATCAATCGGTCTCGAAACTGTCTGGAGGGAATACTCCCTCCGAACATTTGAAGCAACTAACAAATGCTATGGTTCCCATCAATCCTAGGAACTCTCGCCTGTGGCTTCCGTCACGGGAATCCCCATTCAGTTCATTCCCCTCAAAGGATTCCCCACTGAGAACCAGCAAGTGGAAGAGTTTTCATGAAAAAGACCAGTTGGTTGCATGGTGGCATTGTATGTATGAGGTTGTTTGCTGTGTCCCGCGGCTTCCAGGGTCTCCCTTCCAAAATTCACCTAACAACTGCCTGTCAGCTTCCCTCTAATTGGTGGCTTGGAATGGTGGCTTGGAGGTTAGGGGTGTCCCCTGTACCCTCAACAAGAACCAGGGCTTCAAATCTAAATCCAAACCACCAATCCAAATCACCAAGGCCACCTCACGAGCTGCCTTCGACAAGTAAAACCAAAAGCGCCGCTCGCTCCAAACGCGGTTGCCTGCCTTGACTGGCGGAGCTCGCTGGAGAGCGCGCTCTGAACTCTGTGCACCTCACGCAGTGTTTGCAGAGCGCACCGACCGTCTTCTTGTTATCAATATCTTCTAAAAAGCCTCGACAGGTGGTTTTTGTTTGTAAGGCTCTCTCACTCATGAACACATAGCCATTGAAACATCGCCCCACCCCGGATGCACCAGGCTGAAAGGACAACAAGATCTGAAAAAGGCAGTGTGTCCAAAACCTGGAATCACTCGAAGGTCGGGCTTTAAAGAATTGCAAACCTTCCGACTGTCTGTGAGTTCAACCAACGCAAGCAGAGGTCCTGGATTTTACATCCAAGAGTCCTCTGTCTCAAGCAAATCCGCCGAATCCGACCTTGAGAACACGGAAAGCCCCAGGTAGGCGTGGCAATGGTTGGTCTCGGCCGTTAAAACGATGGCCTTTGGCCCCTTGCCATGATGAAAATTTGGCCCTTGGGGGCGTGCAGAAGCGGCCCCTCCCTGTGCTTCAACGAAGGAAAAGTCCCCCTAGTCCTGGGGGCTCTTTCTTCGAATTTGCTCGGGCCTTCGGATTTTCAGCGTCGCAGATTGGCGGTTCTTGAGCACCAACGACTCGGAGGTCCAATCTGATGGTCTACTTAGCCTAAGGTCAACCCAGGAGTCATCAAGCCCTATCTATTTATGTGGGGCGTGCCTGGATTTAGTGCCTGGATTTGGTGGGGGTCGGTTTATTGATTCGGGGTCAACATGACTAAGGCAAGTGGGACAACAGAGGTTTGCTGGCTTCACCCTGGTTATAACCTACCAAGGTTGAAGCTACCTCAGGTTTGCCACATGGCTGTGGGTCAAGAATAGGTACCCAAAATGGCACAACGGTTGAACGCAAGTTTGACGTTGAAGGATTGATATCCATGAAAGGGTTCCAAGCGAAACGTTTCGGCTCAGGCTTTCTTACTAGCGGAACTAGCTGTGTAGGTTGCCCATAAAAGCTATCAGCCACAAACACGTGATTTCGGGAGCCCTGGTAAATGGAACCAAGGACTAAAACCTGTGGTCCAATTCCTGGTGGTTTCATTTTGACCCACATCCAGGCACCAAGGTAAACCGCTCACGACCCGCGGCCTCCTCCAGCACCGGGCTGAGGTCCAAATCCCTGCCCTCCCGCACGCTGGAGCGCAGCTGCCGCAAGGCCGGCTCTACCTGGCGAGATGCGACTGGCGGATTTTTGTTGTTTTTTTTGGGGGGGGAGGGTCAGAATCGGGGCCAAGGAACCTGCGAAGTGATGGACCCTAGATCTGCCCCTTTGGCAGAGTTTTAAAGATGAGGCCCGGAACATCGTCCCAAGAAGGCCTTGAGTGAAACCATGCTTGGATGTTCGACCCATCTATTCACCCGGCTACAGCGGAGATATCTAGGGTAAGCCCGATTCTGTGGATGGACGAAATCCTGCACCACTTGCAAACCATGGGAAACCATTGTTTGTTGGTATTTACAGGGGAATCGAATCAGAAGCCAGGGTTTCTTAGGTGGTGCCTAAGAGGATTTCGTCCATCCACAGTATGGCTATACAGCCTACAATCTACTGGATCCATCCCAACTGCCAATCAGAGCCTGGCCGCTTGGAAACCCCCAAGTTGCCCGTTTGCTTGTCATTTTATGATAAGCCATAGGGCTGTGGTCAGAAGCAGGTACCCAGAATGGGTTGCGCTGGTAAATGGAACGGACCAAAAGCTGCGTTCCATATTTTGGTGGTTCAATTTTGACCCCTACCCATATGACTCTGCTCATTTGCTCGTGCCCACAGATCAGCCGGGCAACAGTAAAGCGGTACATCCAAGCGGGTCTGCCCCTCTCCTGCTCCAACTGCTGAATGATCTGCGAGAAGTCGCACTCCCGGCGCAGGCGGTGCACCTCCTGAACGGAACGCCAAAGGCTTCGGGCGTTTACTCACAGTCGCGATTGTT